CAGTTATCAGTATATCTCCCCATTTATTAATTTTTCCCACCGTATAGCACAAAATTTACTCCTTCCTCTTTAGTTTACTGCATTGGTTAGTTTTGGCTATTATGAATGTCGTCTTTTTATCTACTGTTATTTTTGACATATGGAAAATGTATCAAGTTTAGATATACATTTTATAGCTACTTACTTGGAAGAACTCAGTTTTATTTATTTATTTATTTAATGTTTGTTTGTTTTTGAGAGAGAGAGAAAGACAGTGTGAGCAAGGGCGGGGGAGGGACAGAGAGAGAGGGAGACACAGAGCTCAAAGCAGACTCCAGGCTCCACGCTGTCAGCACAGAGCCTGATGCAGTGCTTGAACTCCCGAACTGTGGGATCATGACCTGAGCTGAAGTCAGACTCTTACCGACTGAGCCACCCAGGAATCCCAGAACTCAATTTTAATAGTTGTTCAGGTGACCCTCTTGACTAATAACTACTTTTTACATTTCTCATTTTTTTAAATCTTGTAATCTGTCAAGGAATAAATTCATATGACCCTAATAGTATAGGCAACTCTAAAACACTGAGGACTTAAAAACCATGTGGGCTTTAAATCCCACCTCTGGGAATATGGAACACAGCTACTTTTCCCTATTCCTTCCTCTAAGTGCAACTAAAAGCCCCAGACATTATATGTAAACAGACACAACACTGTGGAAGATGGAGAGAGAAAAGCCAGACTGGCTAGGGAACCTTGAGATCCAAAGAAGGACATGGAGGTGAGTTTCATGGTTTTCTTTGAGCTTAAATATCTCAGTCTTGCTGCAGCAGAGTCTGGCAGCATGGAAATGCTATGGGTGCAGGCCAAAATAAAAAATAAAAATAAAAAAAAAAGCTCCAGCAAAAACCTGCTGTCTGTGGCCAAAGGATCAGAAAAGGTACAGCCCACAAAGACAAAACTTTGCGACAGTAACCACTCTCCTCTGGCCACACACCATGGAAAAAAATCTTGACCCCACACCACTCATGCCCCAAAGTGGAGAGCCTGGCCCTCCACCCTGGGTAGAATCTAACCAAGAGGCCACTTCTTGGCTGCAGAGGCCACTTCCGTGGCCAGAAGCAATAATGTGGCCACCCTCCCTTTCCTTGCTGGGAGGTGTCAAAGGAGGCATGGTAGAGTCAGGACTTGGATCACAACGTGGTGGTAATGAGGCCACCTGCCCCAAAGCCTTTTGCCATCAGTGGGCAGCACATGGGAAATAATACCAGGCACCACTACTCTCCCAGGCAGAATGGTACCAGCACCACCGTAGGTGGATAGTTAGAGCTCCCACCTCCCATTCAACGTAATAAGCAGCCCCCACCTCAGGTGTCAGTAGAGGCCAGGTGGAGAACTTGAACTTCCACCCTTACTTGCCAGTAATGAGGCAGCACCATGACCCTTCCCTTGCCAAAGCAATGTCAGGGAAACAGATTAAATGAGTCCAGAATCTCATCATGTAATATCCAGATTTTCCAAATTTCGGTCAACATCTTAAGAAACAAGCAAGCTATAAATTTTAAAAGGTAATCAATAGATGCCAATACAGATGACAAAGATGTATAATCATCTGACAAAGATTTTAAAAGCCAAACAAATTTTAAAACTAAAAACTAGAACAAATTTTAAAAAACTCAGTGGATAGACTCAGCAGCAAAATGGAGGGAACACTGGAGTGAATCAGTGAACTAGAGAATAGAATCATAGACACTACCAGATCTAAACAACAGAGAGAAAAGATTGAAAAAACAGTGAACAGAGCCTCAAGGCATCTGTAGGCCCATAACAAAAAGAGTTCACGTTTGTGCCATCAGAGTTTCAGAGAAAAGAAAGGGGAAGTAGTGAAAAGGCCCTGGTAGAAATAACGTCTGAGAAGTTGCTGTCTGTGGTCAGAGATGCGGAACCACAGCGGCATGAAGCTGAGTCAACCCCAAAGAGGATAGACTCGAGGAAATGCGCAGGCAGAATTCATGATCCCCCCAAGATATTCTTTAGGAATGAAGGGGCAATCGAGGCATTCTTAGATGAAAGAAAGTTAAGAGAACTTGTCACGAGCATACCTGCCCTAAAAGAATAGCCTAGAAAGTTCTCTAAACAAAAAAGGAAATGATAGAAGAACTGTGGGGAAACCAGGAAGGAGGGGAGAACAACTGAATGAGTACAAATGCGGGTTCAATACATTTTCTTTTTGCTCTTGAATTTCCGTAATTAGGTTCACAGTTGAAGTAAAAGTTAAAACACTGATGTGGTTCCAAATATGTGTGTGGACAAAATACAATTGTATTATAAAAGGGGGTTGGCGGTAAAGGTATATGTAGGAAGTTATGGTTTCTGCGCTTTGCTGGAGATCAGATTATCTGTAAAAATGAAGCAGCAGTTCTTATCAGTTTGGACATTATCCATCTTTTAAATTTTTATCAGTTCATGGAGACCCAGTTTTGTCTATCAGACGTTCTTGGGAGGGGCACCCGACAGTACCTATCAATTTTAAATACCAACTTTTGAGCCAATAATACCCTACCTTGATGGAAGCATCCATACAAAATACACAATAATGTGTGTAGAGGGTTGTTTACAACGGTATAGTATATAGACACCACAACGTTTTGCCTTTTTTCAGAAAATACGTAACAAAAAGTTAATAAATCTTTTGGAGAGTAGCTAGGTCAAAGTAGGGGTAGGTACATAGGCACATTTTACTTTACAGCTTTTCTCTGTTTTTGCTGTATATCCTTTTATTTTTTTTAAGTTTATTTATTTTGAGAGACAGAAAATGTACTCACAAGCGGGGGAGGGGCAGAGAGAAAAGGAGGGAGAGAGTCCCAAGCAGGCTCCATGCCGTCAGCACAGAGCCCAAAACAGGGCTCATTCCCACAAACTACGAGATCTTGTCTGAGCCGAGATCAAGAGTCAGACATTTGACCGACTGAGCCACCCAGGAGCCCCTACTGTATATCCTAATACATCAACTTCTAGGCATTGAGTACAGATGCTTGGCATAAAAATTTATATCGTTATTTTATGTTTTCCTTTTTTTTGTTAACAGGTCGCATCATAGTATAGGCAGCAAACTACAAATTGCTTTTTTTCTTCTCATTGTATCTTGGAGATCTTCCTACTCCTCAAGATACAGAACATCCCTGTAGCCAATGTATGGGACTCATTCTTCTTAACTGCCATGTAACATCCCTCACTATGACTGCAATTGCACTTGATCTGTATCCCCATGTGTAAACATTCTGCTCTATACATGTTTGGTATTATAAACAATGCTGCCATAAAAATCCTTCTTCCACACAGGTGCTTTCCGTAATTTGATACTGCTAAATTCCCTCAAAAAGACTATACCCATTTGTTCTTTTCCTGAACCTTAGTCCCCTGTCTTTGCTTTTTCATTCACTGCTTGACAGGTGGATAAGGTAGCAACTTTCCCAAAATTATTCTGGCTGCTGCCCCGGGCTCCCTCAAGCTTAGAACCATCCCACATTTTTTGTAGATGTTCTTACATTTTTGTAGAAGTTTGTTCTGTGGTTCTCTCTTTAATCCAATTCCAGCTGTCGGCTCTCTTGCAGGGTCCCTCAGAGTCGTTGATCCATATGCTTTCTTGTTTCTAGTACTATCATGAATTGCTTTAAAAGCCTATTGGTGAGATTTGGGGGAAAGTGGGTGACGGATACATGAAACTCAATGTATCATTTTTGGAATTACCTGAGAGTCTCTATTGCAAAATTGAAAGTATTTTTTAAAAGCAATTTGTCATTTCTAGAGATTTGAATTGAGACCAGATATCTGGAGCAAGGGCTCAGTTGATCTCCCCCACCCCCCATACTGACTGGCTTATTTTAAATCATCACAGAACATTTTTTTTTTAATGATAAAAATTCCGTGTACCTTTTTTTAAAAGAAAAAATGAGGTAGATTGATACAGATAGACATGAAATTTATAAAAATAATTTGATTTTTTGTGTTTATCCCCTTTATAAGGGAACTTTATTTCATTTCTAATTTGAAAACAAAACCAGAGAATTAAAGTGAGTTACATAGTTTCAATAAAAAGATTCTCAAAACTGAATTAGAATAGGGGTGTCTGGGTGGCTCAGCCAGTCAAGCATCCGACTTCGCTTGGGTCATCATGGTTTACAAGTTCAAGCACTTCCTAGGGCTCTGTCCTGTCCACAGGGAGCCTGCTTCAGATCCTCTGTCCCCCTCTCTCTGCCCCTCCCTAACTTGTACACGCACACATGTGCTCTCTCTCTTTTTCTCAAAAATAAATAAAAACATTTTTTTTAAGTCTGTTTCTAAAAAAAATTGATTGGGATAAACTTCAACAATTTGGTATTTAATAACTCTAAAGATAACAGTTTGTTTCCAGTTTTTGTAAATGTTTCCTATAAAAGTTCCCTTTGATGGTGATAAGCTAGGAAAGCTTTGATGATGAAGTATCACTAAACTTTATGTAAAAATAGATAAGATAATAAATGATCAATCATAGCACTTCTATTTTAGGGATCCAGAGTTACAAATGAGTCAAGTATTTTTCTTCCTTTTTGGTCTGGGCCATGGTAGGTCATTTGTTGTAGTAAAGGTACTTATGTAAGTCATTATTTTGAAACATCTTATGTTATAACCAAATGATACCAGTACTCAGTTAACCTGTTTGTATGTTTCAGGGCAATTGCATTTTATTACTTCTTGCCACCCAGAGCTTTGGTAAAATTAAGCTTTCACATGGGAAGATGGGCTTCTACCTGGTAACTGTGCTTTCTGGAGTTCGGGACAAGCTTCTGCTGTGAGCTGGTGCATTCTGCTCAGTGTAACGTCCACCCCTAGTGATGGCGTTCACATGAGATTTCGAAGGGAGGGTCCCTGACAGTGTTCCAACTCACTGTCTACTGAGATGTACTCTCTTCTTGCGCTTTCTAGAATCAACTGTGAGAAACTGTTGCACGCTAATAATTCTCTAACGTGCTGTTTTCCACAGGCTTTTTGGAAGGGACATAAGCAGCGGGAAGCATATATGCGCAGACGGCAAACATTCATTGATAATACTGAAAATATTGTGAAGGTAAACATGCCTTCCTACCTTATTAAGTGCGTGGCTTGAACCTTGCTTTTCATTGCAGTTCTGCTTCTGGAAGACAGAGTATGGAAAGAGTACATGGGAGGCTTAAAGTCAGAATTGAGTCCTGGGTTTGAGTCCCACATCCATTACTCACTTAGCTGATCATCTTCAAACAATTCTGTTAAAACACTGTAACTGGCTCAGGTTCTTTATGTGGTTATGAGAAGAATAACCAGTAAATGCTCTTTCTCTGAGAAGTCCAAATTGATTATTTAAGCTCTGGGGGAAACCAGCTATATTTTGCATCCCTCTTATCATATGCACTAATAATATTAACAAGGCTCAAACTTAACAGTCGAAGCCTTAGTTATTAGGCAAATGCAAAACCAGTGAAAAGAAGAAATAGAACTAATTACGACCTGGATATGCAGGGTGAGTGAGTATAACCCAGCTTTCTACCCAAGCTGATGGCTCTCCAGTCACTGGGGTGCCCACTCCCCAGTGCTGAAAACCAAAGGATTGGCAGAACTGAACCTGCAGACAACATGGAAATCCAGATGAGATTCGGAATAGCAAGGCTAGAGAGAGATAGGAGTCACATGAGGTTAATTAAAAGACCTTTTAAACTGAGAAGACAGAATGACATCATCCAGATCCATTGTGCTTCTCAGTGCTGTGCTGTGCTTGCTATGGAATACATGGCTGTTCTCTGGGAGAGCTATAGGTCCCAGTCGGTCCCTCATGAGAACTCTAGACCTGTTACCCATAAACAGCTAAAGGATACTGGATGCATTTAAGGGAATGAAACCCTGGACTTTATTTTTGGTTCCCTGTCCCATTGCAACTCTCAGCAAAATGCCTTGAGCTCTTGGTTTTTATTTACTGAGATTAAAGCATAGTGATACAAAGCTAAATTATCTTCCTCATCATAAGGTATAAAATACTTTGAAACCCTAGGAGAAAAAGCAATGAAAGAAGTAGGAGGTTAAGATTAGACTTTGCTGGGGCGCCTGGGTGGCTCAGTTGGTTAAGCCTCCAACTTGAGCTCACGTCATGATCTCACAGTTCGTGGGTTCTTGCCCTGGGTTGAGCTCTGTGCTGACAACTCAGAGGCTAGAATCTGTTTCGGATTCTGTGTCTCCCTCTCTCTCTGCCCCTCCCGTGCTCATGCTCTGTCTCTGTCTCAAAAATAAATAAACATTAAAAAAATTTTTTTTTAAAAAAGATCAGGCTTTGCTCAGCCTTGAGCATCCGACTTTAGCTCAGGGTCATAATCTTGCTGTTCATGAGTTCAAGCTCTGCATTGGGCTCTGTGCTGACATCTCAGAACCTGGGGCCTGATTCATATTCTGTGTCTCCATCTCTCTCTGCCTCTCCCCTGCTCACACTTTCTCTCTCTCTGTCTCTCTGTCTCTTTCAAAAATAAATAAACATTAAAAAAAAAAGATTAGGCTTTGAGTATTATTTGGTGGGCTTCTAAATTTACCAGAATATCAGTATTATCCTTAGGCTGCATGAAAAGACATTAAAGGTGTTTTTAGTAATTGCCTCAATGTCTCTAACTCATTTTTAGATCCAGTCCTGGTTCCGGATGGTGACAGCACGAAGGAATTACCTTTCACGACTACAGTATTTCAGAGATCATGTAAGACACACAAGAGTGGATTTTCATCCTTAGAATGAATTAAATGAATGTTTGGTTGAATGTTAGCATTGAATGAGTTTTATTAAGTGGTGGAAATGTTTTTTAGAAGAGAAGCCAAGTGGAAGGCTGTTGGTATATTGTATATGCTGTTTGCACAGTGTTCCTGTCTAGTCATTGTATTAAATAGAATATTTTGTCCAGAAAGAGAAAATGAAATGTTTTCTTAAATATTTTTCATCCACTTGCTCCCTTTTGTCTTAACACACACACCAAACCTTTTAATTTGGTTAAGTGATACTTTCATGTCTCCCTAGCTGCCTGTGGCTCAAGTTTTAAAACCTCAATTGTGACTTAGATGGATAGTTGCAAGCCATACATTAGTAACCTAACATACTTTTTAACAGCAAGTCCAGAGCTAAAGGGTGGAAATGAACAGTAGGAGAAAACAATAGGTCTTAGAACTCAATATGGTAATATTTGGAAGCTTTTTTTTCTTCTTTGAATTAAGAATTCATGTTCAGAGTGAGACTTCACTAGTGAAGACTGAATAGGAAATGTGTGAGAAGAAACGGCTGTGGGCTAGTAATGCTAAAGAGAGAAGATTCCAGACAAGTATTTTCGAACACTGCTTATAAAGTTTTTATAACTGGTAACCAGTGAAGAAGCCCACAGGAGGAATTTTTTCAGGATCTTGAAAGAATGGATATGTGAACATAGATTAGATCATCTAAATTTGGGGCTAAAATTATTTTCCCCTTTAGATCTCTTTGTAAACAGTCCTATACAACCTTGTTGATACTTTTAGCTAACATATCTGACCCTTTCTTCAAAGAAAATGCAAAAAATAAATAGTGAACACACCACATCTAAATGCTGTCTATTCTAAATAGTGTCTCTTCTTAAATAAATACTGTCACTTCTGGGTTGATTGGTTGGTTTGTTTAATACTGTCAGTTCTTGACTAGTTCTGAATTCGACAATCGTGGAGTAGATGGGCCTCCAGAAGATCATGACTGATCTCATTCTTTTGCAGAAAAATGAAATTGTGAAAATACAGTCACTAGTGAGAGCGAACAAGGCCAGAGATGATTACAAAACACTGGGTAAGTTGGGAGCATAAATCTTCCTCCACTAAGGATAGAGTTACGTCTGGATAAACTCATCATGAGTTGACAATATCCTAAGCCAAAAGGACATTGAACACACCTACCCTACAGAACATCACAGCTTAGCCTGGCCTGCCTTAAATTTGCTCTTAGGGGTGTCTCAGTGGCTCAGTTGGTTAAGCACATCCAACTTAGGCTCGGGTCATGATCTCACGGTTTGTGAGTTCAAGCCCGGGGTCAGCCTCTGTGCTAACAGCTCAAAACCTGGAGCCTGCTTCAGATTCTGTGTGTCTCTCTCTCCCGGCCCAGCCCCGCTTGCAAATAGAGTGGTTTTGTGGTAACTGAAATGCAAATTTTCATTTCTTTCTGAATTCATTCAGCATCTTTATAAGACTAAGGCATTTTTAATCTGAAAAAAAAAAGTCATTTTTATTAGTCTCTCATTATCCATTTTCACCCATTCCCCCCGGAGAGGCATTGAATACACTCAGGCTTAGAGGTTGCTGCAGCTGTGATATGGCCTGTAAGTGCTGACTAAGAAGGTAGGTGATTACCTGCAATTAAAATACCCCAAAGTGATTGCCAGCATGAAGATGTCACAAGCCTACTATTGACCGATGAAATCTTAAATTTGAGCCATAATAATTAGTAAAGCTGTAATATTCATTTCTAACAAGTTTATTAGCACATACAGAGATAGAAGGTCATTAGGAGCAAGAAGAGAGAACTTAAGACCAAATGAGATGGCTCACGTTCTCCCAACTTAGTTACATACATGAGCTCTGGAGCATCTCTCAGGCTTTTTCTGATACAGCTATGTCACTAGCAACACCTTTGTTAGAAATAGTAGAACATAGGGGCGCCTGGGTGGCTCAGTTGGTTAAGCGGCCAACTTCGGCTCAGGTCACGATCTCGCAGTCCATGAGTTCGAGCCCCACGTCGGGCTCTGTGCTGACAGCTCAGGGCCTGGAGCCTGTTTTGGATTCTGTGTCTCCCTCTCTCTGGCCCTCCCCCGTTCATGCTCTGTCTCTCTCTGTCTCAAACATAAAGAAACGTTAAAAAAAAATTAAAAAAAAAATAGTAGAACATAAATTCCCATGGGCATCAGGAAGGGAAGGGGGTCCCAGGATCCAAGGTAATTTCTCCAGTAAAGCCCATCAGAAGCGGCAAAATGCTGATAGTGATGGTGTCTAGATTTAGTTCATGTGAGGTTCATGCTCTTAGTTATTTGTGTTGCTGGTTTACCTCTTTTTTTTTTCCTTCCCTTGAATGTGAAAACACCCCAGAACCAAGCTGGCAGTTAAAGGAAAATTGATTAGGGCCTCAGTGTAAAGGAGAGGGTGGTGACAGAGTGGCCATACCTGGGTTGATTTGAAGTCATCTTCGTGTTGTTGCTTGTACTCCCTTATCATTAAAAGTCCAGATAGTTTATTCATACAGTTTGCCCAAGTAGATTTCACTAAATGCCTTAACAAATACATTTTTTGTAAAGTTAGAGTGCTAGGGATTTAATTATAATTCATGTTCAAAGCACTGAGGAGAAACACTTTTAAACTTCAGACACACCTCTGAACAGTTGAGGCTGGTCTTCCAGGTTCTGGGTGCCTACTCTTGGTCCATGCTCAAAAGACAAGGACCAGATTTCAATTTCTAACATAGAACATGTGTTCCGCTTGTCACTCCATGGGCTCCTGAGTGGCCTTACAGGTCTCCCCTCATTGACTGTTTCTAATTCACCTTTCACCTAGTTCCTGCTTCTTCCCCCATGGTCTTCTGGGCTGAGAGGAAACTTTCCATTTCCTGTTGCAAAAACACAAATCCCTTATCTGGCTCAGCCCCCAGCTCTCAGAGATAACTTAGTTAACATTCTTTCTCACGTTTCTCATCAATAAGGCACAGATAGATAGAACTTTCTTCTCGGTAGAGAATCCTGGAAGCAGGATGCAAGAAGGCCGATAAATGAGAATTAGATAACTAGAAAATAGTGAGGCCAGATGACATCAGTGGTGTGCACTCATTTATATGATCAGTTTCCTTGTCCAGATTTAACCTGGGAAGAATAAGTCCTTCCAGAGACCCAAGTGCTTCCGCTGCTGTGTTTTTCTACTACTGCTGTATTGAGATACCTGATTTCTCTACGACCGATGGTAATTCCAAACATGCCTAATTAAAACATGCTTGTTCCTTTCCCCGCAGTTGGCTCCGAAAACCCACCACTAACAGTGATCCGAAAATTTGTACACCTGTTGGACCAAAGTAACTTAGATTTCCAGGAGGAGCTGGAGGTAGCACGGTTAAGGGAAGAAGTCGTGACCAAGATCAGAGGTAATCAACAGCTGGAGAAAGACCTAAACCTGATGGACCTCAAGATTGGGCTCTTGGTGAAGAACAGGATCACGCTGGAGGTCAGTGCGATCTGTGGGGCTGCTGGCTCTCAGAAGAGAGAAGGGGCACGTACGTTTGCCCACAACACCTTTGTCCAGCTAAACTCATTCGGAATCCAGGATGTGTGGTCCAACTTCCTGGACCACTTTTCTCATGGTTCTCAGACCTGCAACATTTTATGCCCCACCCCTAGATAAGATCTTTTGTAAGGCTTCTTTACCATTCTGAAATGAAATGACGTGAAATGAAGCCTGGTTACGTATGTCCCTCTACAATAAGACTTTACACGAGTATAGAAAAGTAATGTATAATAAAAACATGGATTTCGGCCTGAAAAAACATGGGCCAAATGCAATTAGAAGATGTGCTCAAGTTGCCTGAGGCTTGGATCTCTTCCCAGAATAACCACAGATTGAACAGTCTACCAATAGCTGCAGACGAGACTCTGGATACCAGTGAGAGGTGGAACTGCAGTGATTTCATCTCCCGAAATGGAAAACGTCTCTTTGCAAAGTTCACAAGAAGCAAGGAGTTCTCCCCCACAGAATTGCAGTCCTAGAAAATCCAATATATATTAAACCTGGGGGGAGGTATTTTGCTTTCACCTAAAGCAATTAGATTTGAGACTCAAATAATTACAGAATTTTGACCTACATGAATGACCGGCAGGACACCGAAAAATCCAGCCATGCAAAATAGGGACAGTTATTTACACAGGACTGTCATACAAATCGCAGGACAGTAGTGCTCCCTGCCCCCACCCAGTAGAAGACAGCAGTCCCTTAGAGATGTTAGGGTGTTAAAAAAAAAAAAAAAAAAAACCTTTGCACATTTCCAAAATGGTCCCTACGGAGTGGGGTGGCCCCCAAAATAGCCTCTAAGTAAGTAATGCTACAGTTTTGTATCTTTATGAAACTTGTTAATGTCAGAGCTCCCTCAAACTATGTGAAAAGTTTCATTTTTACCCAAGAAATGGAAATTTGTAGGGTAAGATCTCTTACCATGTCACTGTCCCAGTGCCACATCAGTTTTCAGAAAATGTACAGGTCAAGAGGGGCATAGGGAGCTGACCTTCTGGAAACACTGAGAAAGCTACCATGTGTCAAACATAGAGTGCTCACTGCCACTGACTTGAATCTATGGTTCTGGAAAACTGGGAGATGAGCAGCTCAGAAGGCCAGCAGATAAAAGGACAGGAACACCCCACTCTTGTCTCCAGCCCTCACAGAGAAATAGTGAAATAGTGCACAAAAAATAAGGAAGATAGAGCATTTACAAAACAGGAAATGATACTCTTTTCTAAATATTAAAAAAAGTATAGTGTAAATGTTCTGTATTAAGTCTGTTTTCATTATTTTATCCGGAAGAACCGTAGTCCTCTCCTTTTTAAAAATAATGTGTTTGTGTTTGACAAACATGAGAATTTTTCAAGTGTAATATATTCCAGAAGGTCCTTCAGAAAACGCCTTTTATAGCCTTAAACTACTGTTTTACCCCATTCCCATAAAGTTGTAAACAGGAAATGCCTTGCCTTTTAAAGTAAAGGCTAGTTGCAAAATAGTAAATGGTAGAAATAACATGTAGCTTGTTATTCATGTGGATAATGAAACCATGGCAAATTTTCAGGTTTTTTAAATGTTTAAGATTGTTCTTTTAGGCAATCCTAATTGATAGCTTTGTGAAACAGCTATTTTTTCGATTTACCTTTTCAAATGCCAAATATTGATCACTTACTGGAAATTAAAACTAAGGATTATTAAATATATGGTCTTTAGTCTTACAGTAGCATTTTTAGTTTGATGCTAAGAATAGTACTGTTGAAGCTTTATTTATAATAGTGAAAACGTGTGAAATAACCCAAACACAAAAACGATAGAGAACAGCAGTAGGTTATATAGCCACGAAAAATAATTTTTCCAAGGCAGGGGCCTAATTCAAGGGCAGGGGGAAGAGTGTGCAGTGTAATAGAGAAGACTGTGGTACTTAAAGCAGTACAATTTCATTTGTTGTGGAAAATATATATATATACTTAAAGCTAGGGAAAAAATGATTTTTCTTTGGGTGGGTGGTAAAATTTAACTTCTTGATCCTTTTTTATTTTTAAACAGTAAGCATATTTTTGGTGAGGAAAAAATACTTTTTGTGATGTTTATTTTCTTTTTTTAATGATAAACACAATATTATTTTTCTTAATATTTTTTACATTTATTTATTTTATTTTTTTAATTTTTTTTTCAATATATGAAATTTATTGTCAAGTTGGTTTCCATACAACACCCAGCGCTCATCCCAAAAGGTGCCCTCCTCAAAACCCATCACCCACCCTCCCCTCCCTCCCACCCCCCAT